TGAAAAGGGCTTGCACCCCATGATTATGCTCTACGCTTCTGGATTCGAGAAGCCTCCCAGCCAGACCCAAAGCCAAACCTTTGGACAAGCAACGTCCCGAAGCCTGAAAAAAGGGGTGTCCTAGACAGACCCTTCCATTCCTCGTCTCAACAGCAACAGCTTGGGGCCCCCCTTACATCCCTTGACCCCTTGACCGTCCTCAGTCCCGCGCGGTTGAAGCCGACGCTCTCGAACCAGCTGTAGAAGATGGCAGCCTACAACCAGGGTTCAGGGTTCAGGGTTCAGGGTTTAGGGTTTAGGGTTTAGGGTTTCGGGAAACTACGGCTCCAGTAGCCATCGCCAAAAGCCAACCCATAACATATGTCCGCCCACTTCATGTCCAAAAAAGAGCACCAATGGGGGGAGGCCGTTGGGAAGAGCACACCAGATTTAAGGGCGGCGGCCCGGCTGCTTCAGACAAGACAGCTAAACCCTGAACCCTAAACCCTAAACCCTAAACCCAATGTATTCCTTAAGCGCCTGATCCTTCCAGTCCGTTGGCAGGGACTCCTTCTTGATTACCACATCGGCCAACATGACCTTTGCCAGGTTTTTGCATCCTTCTGTCTTGGGGCCTGTGCTTCAGAGATATCTTGGCTGTATTCATCCTGTGTCGCACATCCCTTGAATATGTTGGCGGTTACTAGCATCCCTGAAGATTCCTTAGTCCGGCCTAGATGCACCATGATCACCGTGCCCCCCAAAGCCCAAATTCAGTCTCATGGCTCGCGTTCCTCATCCGTTCAGACCGCATCCGGGTCACTCAACCTGAGCTGCGGGCGTAGCGCACGTAGTTCCAGATGCCCGTGTTCACGAACTCCACACCCCACCTGGGAGGCGATGGCTGTCCATGAAGGGCCTGCTATGGCTAAATCGTCTGTTGGCCCAAGGCCCGGGTCGCAGGCCGCAGCTGAAATCGGTGCAAGAAGATTCGTGTCTTTGGAGTACGTCGGGAGGCCACGCTTCTCTGCTGCTGGGTTGGGGGGTATAGGGGGCAATGAGCGGGGGAAGGGGGCAAATGAGACTGCGCCAGCAAGACGTTGAAATTTGCGGGCCACAATCAAGAGTATCTTCATCCTTTGAGTTTTCCTGTCTTTCACACAAAGGTCCCAACACCAGCCGGCCTTGTGCCGTGGCTTTAAGAAGTCGTACAAAAAGCACGTGCACAGCTTAACGCCGCCGCAGCTTTCAATTAACAACGCTGTGACAAAAAAAACGCCCTTCCAGCCCACAGCCGCCGTGCAGCAAGAGGCTGAACGAATCGTCCTGTCAAGTACGTTAAGCCTACTTCAGCCCAGGTCCGAGAACACGGCTTCTTGGTGAGATAAGTACGGACCTGGCACGAGGGTGCTGCAATCCGTGGATATGAAGAGCCACCTAGAACTAGAGGAATTTGGGCTGAAAACTACGCATCACAAACATTGCAACAAAAGCTCAAAAGAGATCACTTCATCCCTTGTGTCAAGTAGCCAGCTGCAGCTCTCCAGTGTGGGTTTTCTGCATTCTCATGTGCTTGAAGTGAGCACAGCTCTCAAGTTTAGACCGTTTCTGACTCGGCTTCTCATAACCAAACCATTCCTTCTCTCTGAGCCACTCATGCTTCTAGATTTGCAGCAGATGACATCAAAGTTACTTTCCAAGCAAGCAGCTGCTGTTGCATCATCGGCCGAGTGTGTCCAAGCTAAGGGAAATGGCTTTGCACCACCATGCCAAGCTAACTTGATTTTCACCCTAGAACACGTGCGAAAGCTGCAAAAGTGTCCTGAGCACTTTTGCATCGGAGCAAGCTTAGAGATCTCACCAGACATCTGGAGCCTGGTGGCCAATCTGCTCACTGCGCTTGTAGACCAGGTAGGGAACATCCTGAAGCAGGCTGGGAGTTGACTTCAATGCTTCAGGTTTCAAGCTCATCGGCCCTAAGGTTTACGTGAATGGAATGAAAGGGGCTTAGCTCGTGAACTGTGTAACGGTGTCCCGATGTGTCTCGTAGCCGTCGTCGTATCCATCTCGTATCCACTATTTCGGAAGGAAATCGAAGTGTTGACTACCGTATACTCCTACAGGACGCGACGCCGCAAAAGCAAGTGGCAAGAGCCGATTGCTTGACGAAGTGGCGATTACCCCGTGAGACCGTCGTCGTGTAACTTTGCTGCATGCGAACTGAACACCCGAGTCTCTTGAGCAGCTCCGAAGATCCGAAACCTAAACCCTAAACTAAACCCTAAACCAAAAATGCCTCCCAGGTGATCTTGTTGGTGTCCACATCGAAGATGCAGCGTGCAGTTGGCACGTACCAGGCAGAGGTATTGCGCGAGCGCATGTTGAGGATCATGTCCATGTACCTGAATCAAAGCACAAGAGAAATCGACATGCCTTCACTTCTCCCTCCCGCCCCGCTCTGAATCTAGAGCTCGAGTTCGCACATCTCCGCGGACGCAGTGCACCGCACAGCAAAGTCTTAACTGTGGCTCCATCTTGGAATTCCGGTGCCGCGGTTCAAGCCAGCTGAGGACCGAGGGTTCCACCCATTTTAGGCATTGATGCGGAAAAAGCAAACTCGGTCCAGTCCCGGCGCACTCGAGGGTGAAGGATCCAGAAGGGTCCAGGAGCTCGTGGTACCTGGTGGCTCAACTGCGGGTGCTGGGATCTCGAGAAATTGGGTGGAGCATTTGGGTTGGCTCTTGAGCAGACCCCAGCTCTGCCTGTCGGATCGTGCGAAGAACGCGTGGTCCTCCAAGAAATCCACCTTCCGGTCGGCACTTCAGAAATGCCATGGTCTCCGAGATGAGAAGTGAACATGGGAACCCAAATGACAGGGCCCAAGGGCCCCGGATCTGATTGTTCGTGTACATAGATGGGAATCCTCAAGGGCTCCATGTGGAATCCTGCTCTTCTTTGGTTGGGCCCGTCCTTAACTTTGGAAGAAACACGCGCATACCTAGACCTAGGCTCATACTTCAAGCCTTCAGGCAACAGACATGCTCCAACGAGTTGAAAGTGGAACACGCAGCAAGCTGACGCAATGCTGAGGTTCTATGTGCTGAAACTGCAACGCAAACATGCAAACATCCCACCCATACTCCGATTCCGGATGCAGAGTTCCAACATGAGGGGATACCCAAACCCTTCTCTCAACCCGGCTCCGAACCCTGCATCTCGCTCTCTCTCTCTCTCTCTCTCTCTCTCTCTCTACATCTCTTCTTCTTTTTCTTCTTCTACTTCTACTTCTACTCACCGCCCCCCAGACGGGGAACCCCGGCCACGACGACCCAGTGCTCCGTGCTCTCTCTCTCTCTCTACATCTCTCTCTCCGGCCTGAGGTCCCTCCTGGAAGTCCTCGCGCGCATCATCATGCAGTGCAGACCAAGAGAAACGCCGCTTGCGTGGCTGACGAGCCGTGTGGTGACAGTCAATATGCACAAAGATCGCGGCCAACCGTCGGGTGCGTGATACCAACCGACAAATTGCAGCCGAAAAACCCTCCAGGACACCAAAAGCCAACCACGATTGAGGTCACCCTGGATGCGGTTACCAAGCCGGAAACCACCCTATTGATCCTAGCCCAAAAACCCTACTCTTTTGAAGCCCTCTCAAAAGAAAAAACAGCTCAGCCCCTAGTTTGCTTTTGGCTTTGGTGTAAGCCCTGGTCCTCTGGCTTCCGCTGAGTCAGCAGGTGCAGGCTCAGGTCATAGTCGATGCGGTAACCTCTGAAGCTAAGCTCACTTCGTTTAAAACCTTGTGCTGACGGAAGGAACTTGCAGCTTCGCAAGTCATGACAAAAACACGCATCGTGGCCGAGAAGTCCAGCACAACGTTTCCGGCCAAACTACTAATTAGGGGAGTTCTTTCAAAGCTGCAGGGTGAGGTTTTCTAAACTCTTGCAGGGTGGGCCTCCTCTCCACTGTCAACAGGCCCTGCGCACGTTTTGCCACTGCCGATGGGGCTGCCAAGCGCTGAAAGGCTCCAGAAAGGCTCGAGCTTGCTGCGCGCAACGCTTCCGCAAGACGATCATCACTGTCATCCTGTAAACCTTGGATGGCAGGGCCCCCTGAGGCGGCACCGTCGCAAACTGCAAGGAGCCTGGCACAGCTGCGTTCTACTAAATGGAAACTCTACCGCCCCGATGTCAAGTGTTGGTTTCGAGAACGGTTCAGGCTTCTTCCAGTGCGATGGCTCCTAGCACGTTACTGAAGGTCATCCCGCCTTCGGCGGGGTATTTTGAGAGCACTGGCCCACTCATGGCCGCTCCACAACGCTGGTTTCGCCACGGACGTCAAGCAAAGCCTCGGTTGGTGGAGGGGCCCGGCAGAAGCATCCGACTCTTTTAACAGGCATGTGAGTCATCGCATCGTCATTCATTGCGGGCATCCTGGTACCTCCGCACAAGCAAGAAGGACTATGCACTGTTAAACTACCCCTCTAAATCTCCTGGATCAGGTGTCGGGCAACATACACCTAGGGGGCCCAGCTCGAGCCCCCCCCCCCACCCCGAAAACCTAAGCTGCCGAGTGGCGGAGCGGTGGGCGTACCAGCATGGCCGGGGGTGGCCAGCCCTGAGGAACAGCTCAAGCCCGTGATGCCCCAAGGCCCCTGAAGCCTCTGAAGCCTCTGAACCCCCAGCTTCCCTAAACCTCAACGGGCCTCTTCAAGAATCAAACCCTTGGGACCCTCAGCTATTGGATATAAAGCATAGGGCTTACGGATTGGGGTGTAGAGGGTCCAAGGTTTGCACGCGAAGCGGCTCTAGCGACCACGGCCTGCTGCTGCAGCAGCTGGCGATGGAGATGGTCCTGAGCTCTTCGGGCTGTTCGGGGCTTTTGGGTGTTTGGGGTGTTTGGGGTGTTTGGGGTGTTTGGGGGTGTTTGGGGGTGTTTGGGGGTGTTTGGGGTGTTTGGGGCGTTTAGGTTGGGCCTTGGGGTGGCGTTTACGGTGCCAGAATGGACGATCATGTCCCATGTGTTTTCTCCCAGGTCAGCGGCACGGCCTTTAACGATGTTCAGATTTTGGGGTAAGAAGCTCCACTATCGACGGCATTGGCTTGGAAGGAACATCGTTAAAGAACAACACAAACGTCGGACGTGACTTTGTACGGTTTCGGGCTCGGGCGCGCGGGTGTGCTTAGGGCCCACAACACCTGGCGAGAGTCAATCTGCAGCTGCTGTTGCTGCACGTGGTGCTGCAGGTACCACAGTTGATGCTGTACCTTTGGCCGGGGAAAAGTGGGCGTTGAGACAAGGTTTGTCAGAAGGCGGTGTCTTTTGTGAGCAACAACGCAAGGATTCAGAATGTTGGAGTGGGTATCGAGCTTTGGAGTGTAAGACCGTCTGAGCCCAGAACCTAGAACCTTTCAGCCCCTCTGCAGTGCGGCTTGATCAAGGATATGGGATCCTGCCCCGAGATTGATGTACGAGAACGCCCTCTTATACAAGTGGCAACCCCCAAGGACCCCACAACCTTAAGGCCAAACCCAACAACGCCAAGATGTGGGATCTTGGAAGAAGCTGGGGCCACAGGCCGGAGCGTGGAGGTCGGCATGGCTCCTCGCAGGCTCATGCCTTGCGCTTAGGGGAGGGTTAGTGCGGTTGGGGATTCACGGCTGGATCATGGCAAAATGCCCACAAGCCCCAACACTGCCCGGCGCTCAAAACCTACAGCTTCAAGGTTTAAAAAGTTTAGGCCTCAACTTGCGGGGTGACCAATCTTTTCAGAAAGAAGCTACGCTGCGAGACACACAAAAGGTTTGACACCCCAATCGCGCCCACCTGACCTCCAGCTACAAACCTGCACAACCTTCAACCCCCCAGATCGTCCCAAATCTACTGCGCTGGTGCCTCGGCACAGCGCCCACGGGCACTGCGGGCGACGCGGGCGCTGCGGGTGCGGGCGCGGGGGCCGCTCGCGCACGGGCTCCACGCAGCGCTGATGGGAGCTGAAAACGCTCCTGTCCGAGTTTACAGAGCCATGCCGCCATGCCGCCAATTACCCCCCTTCCTTGCTTCCTGTGTGCACCACCTCCAAGAAAGACTGCAGCAACAAGCAGCATTCTTCCGAGCCCGAGACTGTGACCCTAAACCCATCTAAACCCGGGAGCTCCTGGGGCTCGGAGTAGCTCCTTTGGGGTGCCTGGGGCTCCTCCGCCCGCCTGCGGTTGGGATTGAGTGCAGTCATGGGTTTGGAGCTTTGGACATAAGGGGGTTTAAGTTAAGGCTTGCGGTCGACTCTTGGCGTGGGCGAAGCTGTGCATCCCCAATCTCCCCAGCTGCCTCTGCACCTGGGGAAGCAGGAAGTTGCCATACTCGTGCCCACATGTGACCCAGTCGCCCATGCCTTGCAGGGGGCTCTTCTTGGAATGAAGGCATCCGGTCGCCTAAGGATTTGGGCATCTTCTTGTACCTAGGCAGAAAGAAACACAGCGCTCTTCCTTCAGTGCTTTGAGCTTCTGGAGTATACCATCCAGCAAAACCTCAGAACGGATGGATCAAACTTGAAGCTAGTCGTCACTAGCGGCACTCCGGCCAGGCAACCACCCTGAACCGAAAGCAGGGCCTTCACTGGGCAATCGCCTCCCACGCCGTCCGGCCATCGCAGGCGAAGATGGGTTTCTAGATGTTTTGTTGTGGGGAACCTTTGTCAAAACTCTTGCGGTTCGAAAAAAGTGGGAAGGGTGACGTTTCGTGGGTTCAAGATTGCTTCGGCGGGGGTTCTTTTTTGGGCTTGGGCTCAGGTAGTGTGAGGCCTTGGCCGGGTTTGGAGGCTCGTCGCGTTGTCGGAGCTTTGGCAGGTTGCGGCTGCTGCACGCGGAAGACTTCGAGCTCAGCCGGCAAAGCGGCACAAACTAAGCTGGCTGAGCTCCCATCCCTGAGCCCAAGTACTGAACCCTGCTGCTGTGAACCTTCAGGTTCTGATGGTTTGGGACTGCAAAGCTTCCCCACCATGAAACCCCTAGGCCGAGGCTGGAGCCTGTCGCACTGGTGGGAGATGGTCGCACGTGCAGGTTCTGATGATGCCTCGATTTAGAGATCTTTATTCTGGTCTGGGGGCTGGGGGCTTGGGGCTTAGAGTGTGGGTCGACGACACGTGGACTCCAAACCTGAGTCCGCCGAGGCCTCTGGCGGTAAGGTGTCTGGGGAGCATAGAGCGGGTGCCCCGCCTGTTGAATCCCTTCTTGCGCCAGCCCATGAGGATGCATCGATTCTGTAAGCATCCGCGCTTCTGGACCATGCTCCGCTCCTCAATCCCAAGCCTCACCACTGTGCTACCAAAACCACTAAACTCCCAGAAAAGTCTGGGCCCTGTCACCCATGAGGCACGATGATCTTGTCACTCGCGGCCTCGCGCAGGGCTGTGAATCAGCCCTATGGGCGGAGGAAATCCAGTCGCAGGGGCTTGAAGGAGTCATGGGTTATGCGCTGCTCTGCTCCATCTAACACGCACCTCTCTGTTTCAGGGGACTTGTCTTGGAAGCCCTGAAGCCCGAACCAAAACGCGCGGACCGGCCCCCCGGCGCCGAGGGCAGGGCCTCATAGATCTGCGGAGCCGCGATCGGGTAATGCGGGTTCGCCTCGTTGGAGCGTTTTGGGCCCAGATCCGAGAGGTACAAGGCAGATGACGTCATAAACATAGACCCTTCGATGACCCTACTCAGGTAGGCGGCATGTCCATTCCGCCTTTGGTTCCCTGCCTACTTTCTGCACCCGCGAGCTGAACCCGGTTACATTCGGCTCTCAATGGCTCTCACAGATTCAGGGCTTTACTCTCTGGAAGCCATCTGAGCACCTGCACCCAACACCCTACAACCAATGCCTCCAGCGCCCGGAACATCTCGCAGGCAAAGTCGCGCTCCATGGGGTAGGCCTGGCGAAAGAAGGCTTGGGGGGCTCATCGCGCGTACAGAGTTTGTAGAGAGTCTGTTGGCCTTCTGCCGGCATTCTGTGGACGTGGCCGAAGCAACCAAAGCGAACACCCTCAAACCTTGAAGCCCCAACCCGAAGCCCTAAAGACCTTCAGCAAATAGAACCTCAAACCAACAGCTAGCCACCAACACTCCAGAGGTGCAGAGAGGTGCAGGGTGGCAAAGAACCGCGGCGGAAGGGCATCGTTGTGCATCAGAACCTTGGTGTGCAAAAGGCACGGCTCAAGCTTTGGGGAATCTCTCGAAAAAAACAATGCCTTCTTTTTCGCCATAAGCTTCCCTCATAAGCCTCTGAGTCCACAAAATTTGCAGCTCTCCTTGCCGACAGGCTGCGGCATACTTGGTTTTAAGCATGGGCTGCACCTGCAAAATCGAGGGAGGGGTTTGGGTTTTCGGGTTCTCGGCTTTTAGGGTTTTTTGTGACTTTCGGGGAGGGAGACTGGGGTTGTAGGAAACCGGGCTGAGGAATCGAAGGAGGGCCCGAAGGTGCTTCCCCAGATCCTGCATGGATACCGGAACACTCCTAACAACTCGACCCCTGAATGCTCTACACCATGCAACTTGGACAGAATCCCTTACACCTTCCCCCTTACAGAACAGCGCTTCTTCCGAGAAAAAAAGCGGAGAGCCTTGAGGAAGCCAGCGATGGGCGCGTCGGATGCGCCGACTGCCACCTGAGCACTGCTGCTTTGAAGCCCCAAGACACACCGAACAGGCTCGGCAAGCCGGCGTATTAGCAACTGTCATCTTCACCCTTACATCGCCCCCTGTAGCCTGCTGTGCCCTGCCCGTAAAGAGGGCCCCAGTCCGCAGATCTGCAAACCTACCCAAGACCCGAATCTCAAACCGGTAAGCCAATGCAACAAAGCCCACAAAAGCTCAAACGCTCAACAGCCCACCCTTGAACTCCCGGCCTCGTTGAAGTGAGTGAAGAGCTTGCTGCCGATGGTCTGTGTGTCTACGTGGCGGCCTTAGTGGGCTCTTCTGGAGGTGTACAGAGTAGAGAGCTTGTTGTGGCGGCTTCCGGGTCAGTTTCGTTGGCTGCAGAGAAGTGTAGAAGGGTGTAGACGGGTGTCGAATTTCGAAGCCGGGGCGCAGAGCTCCGGGCATCGGCTGTAAGAGACTTCGGCAGCCCCAAACGATAAGGCCGTCGCACCCTAGAAGTAGGACTAGGCCTGAACTGTAGCATAGGGCTCAGTCGGACAGCAACAAATTATGCTTGGGGAGTGCAATAGGCTACCCCCTGACACAGAACGGTAGATTCAGTCATGCCACACTCTGGGCATGTCTGGTCCATTATCATACCAACAGGATCCTTGGAAGGCTCTGCTCTAAGTTACAGTTTTAACAGACCCTCAACTATCATGCAACATTTTTCTCCGCGGGGTGAGACTACCGGCAGGTCTGTGCGAGGCTCGCTCGGCCAGCGGGTCATCTCCTGGCAGATGGCCCCACATCTCTAAACGGGCTCCTGAACCGACCCCGAAGCCCGATTCCTTTGCCCAAAATGCATCGACATCTGCCCTTGCACCCCAAACTCTGTAAGAATGAAACACACGTTTTCTGAAGCTGGATATTAGACTTCTCATTAATCGAGTATCGAAAAAAATGTATCCTTCATCGTCCCTCCCCACATCCATCACCCTGACCCTAACCCCTCCGGCGCCTTAGGACACAATGGAGGGAGCCGGGAACTGTCCAGCCGCCTGCGCCTGAGCCTTCGCACTCATGTGCCATGTTTGAAGTTCTAGGGTGTTGTACAAAGGCTCCCTGGACTCTGGAGGCGCTCGTGGCACATGAAAGCTTTGATACTCTATACAAACTGGAGCCTCAGCATTCTTGACCTTGAAGTCGAGCCCTTGCGCGATCCAGGCCAGGAAAACCTGCGCATCCTCGCACGGTTGAGGTTGAGAGTTTAGTGGTCGCTTTTCACGACATGTCGCCGTGAGAGCAAGGCCCCTTTGAATAGAAACCAAAATCGGTGCATGGCCATAACTATGACCCCGAAGACCAAAAACAGACACACACACACACACACACCCAAAAAAAAAATAAAAATAAAAAATACCAATAAACAAATAAAAGCGCAAGTCTATCCTAGTGTCGACAGAAGCTTGGCTTAAGAGTTGGGACCATCCCTAAGTCTCACTAGAACCCGACCAAGATTGACCGATGAATGGGCCTCCTCCTCCATTTTGAAGCGCTGCGCGACGCGCTGGGGCGTGACGTCCCACTCGCCAGAAGTCAGCCAGTCTGCCACCTGGTGCATTGATGCTTTGGCTCTTGTGCGACATGCAAAGGGGGGGGGGGGGGGGGGGGCAACTTCAGTATAATGAAAAATGCCTCCAAAGTCCGCAACGAACGTGATGCGGCCATTGACATGCGTGTAGTGCTCCAAGCAAAACTGTGATCCCTCGACGCCTGCAAGCCCCCATCTCTATGCGGCCGGGACCTCGCCGGCAGCATCGCCCTCCCGCAGGGCGTACCTTCGAATTCATCGGGTTTGGTTTCAGAGGAATACATGGGCTTTCAGGGTTGGCATGGACGACTCTCAGTGAAGCAGGGCTGTTCGCTTCAGGGACTGCATTTCTTTGCTTGTACCTCCCAACAAAACACCCTTGCTTGTGCAAGAAGTTGCTCAATGCCGGTCGTGAAACAAGGCTAAGATAATGCTAACTCCCAGAAAAATCTTGAAAGCGACAGCCGCCAGCAGCAGGATAGCTGCGTGAACCTAAACAGACCTCTGCTTTGAGATGCACGCGCTTGCATCGACCTATATCTGGAGATGCACCGATTGATATCAACCTGTGGCTTGCACGACCTGTGTTGGCATCGATTTAGGGCGGCTTCAGAAGTCATTGGCCTCAGGGATTTGGCATTCGGCCTGGGAAGCTGCAACGACCGCTGAAATTCTCGGCCAGGATAAACTAGACCATTTGCCAAATTACGCCAAAAACCCTACGAGCCGAACGTTGATCTTGGAAGCTTGGGTGTGTACAAATCTGTACTTTGACGTGCGTTGACTTACATGGAGTTGTGCTTGCGACCTGCCTTCCTGCGAATAAAACGGGAGAGCAACCACCGAGGGTATCCTTCATTACCTGTCCGAGGGAGGGCAAGACAGCCCACAAATCTTGGCTAGCTTTAGGGTGGGGATGGTCGGCCAGAGTATCACAGCGACCGCCCATTGCGGCGAAACTTTGGCTGTCAACACTGTAGGAGGGGGACCAAGATTTGGGATGAAGCCTAGCGGCCTGCTTACTTGTCGGGCGTTGGGGCTTCAGATTCTTCTCGCTTCAGAGATATTCGCGGCTGGCTTGGAGGCTGCCAACTATTGAATGTGTCAGTAGCCTCGGCTCAAGAAACGGAATCCCGATACCCGGCGTCTTCGAACCCTGACGGAGGGCACTTCTCCACCACCTCGTCGAAACGCTCCTCCGGTTCTCAGAGGCACGAGGCTCTCAAGAGTCCAAAACCCTGCCGTCAACGAGCCTTGACGTTGACCATGGCCATGCCAATAGGGTCGTCTGCCTTCCAGAGCACGAAGTATTGATGAAGTTGCTACAAAGTTATTCAGAGACTCTGACTCTGTCATTCAGAAGCTTGTGGTTCAGGAATGAACGCCCGCGACCTCGCCGAATCCGGAAGGCAGAGTGGGGGCTGCAGAGAGGTTGTGGGCTCCTAGCTTCAAAGCCCTTTTCATTCTTTGGGTTGCGTTGGGTCATGGGGTGGGATGTTTTGGTTTTGGGGCTCTTGCCTTTGGCGTCTGTCAGAGCATAGCTCCATCAAAACGAGCTGGACCACGTCCAGAGTATTCCAAGACCACTTCGAGACCAACGACAGCTCAAGGATGGGAAGAGGAGACTGAGACGAGAGCGCGATTTGCGACACCCCAAGACCTGCCGAATTCCCCTCTGGAATGGTCTTGGCCAGCATGCAGGAAAAAGTACGCTCCTGCCTCATTTGCTCGACACGGAGCGATGAAAGCATGAAAAAGTATGGATTTCGATGCCTGGTGAGTGCACAAGCGTGCCGTGCGGTCACCATCTAGCCTGCAATGGCTCTGTTTTGAGAGCCATGCAAGCCGAATGCAGGTGAGGAAACAAAACCCAAAAAACCCTAAACATTTTAACCACTTCAACCCAATCTTCCAAACCCGGGCCGGCCGATGCAACAGCGAAAGCTGGCGTGGAGGAGGCTTTTCAATGTCACAACGCTGAGCTTGCATTGGCTTCCTATTTCGGCAATTGATGCGCCTTGAACTCAGCCTCTTCCTTGGCGGCTCGTTCGACTTCAGCCTACCAAGGTAAACAGACTCGAGCCCGAGCATTGCAAGCGAGAGTCCCAAGCCAACCTTTACCCGACAACCTAGAACGGCAAAGATCACGCCTGCTTCGCCTTCAGGGCCGCAGCTCGTGCATCGAGGCTCTCAGCAGAGAGGCCACCACCCCCGAGCGACTGCAGAGCTAAAACGTCCTGCAACTAGGCGGAGCTGACATTTTGGGTTTTTGGGGTTGCAACCAACATGATCCAAATTTAGGCACCCCGAAGAAAAGGTACACGCATTTTCTGAGGGGAGTTAGGGCTTGGGGTTGTTTAATTAGGGTTTAGGCTCTGGACTTCTAAGGGCAAGGTGCCCGAAGCCTCTTTCTAGGGGTTCTACTTTGGACCCTTAAGGTTGTACCCTTGGGTTTGGGTCCCTTCTTAAGGATCCCTGAGGGAATATATGGGCCATATTAAGCGTATATGAAGGGGAACCTTTAGGGGTACAACCTTAGGGGTACGAGTCTTCATCCCTTGACTCTTGGGGTAGAGCTGAAACCCTAAGAGGGAGAGGCGTTGTCTCTTCCTAGGCGGGGCGGGGCCCTTCTGTTGTCTTCCTAGGTGTGGCAGACCCTTTTTCCTAGGTCACGGTCCTTTGCGGGGGGCGTGTGGGGGGGGGTGGGGGTGGGGGGGGGGGTGGGGGGGGGTGGAGGCTGACCGAGGGACGTCGCCCTCTCCGGGCTTCCTAGGAAACGTGTGGCCTTTTTTTCCCCAAAAAACCTAAAATTCGACGCAACGAACAAAAAACACTGTTCCCGGCCCAACTATTCTGAGAGAGAAGGTATAAAACTCCGTAGGGGCCTCGAGGGCCGGGGCATATGAGTGGATCGCCTCGAATGCCAGGCTTCGACGATTCAGAGCCTCACAGGGCTGAGGCTCTTGGGCGCTCTTCGGGCTCGATTTTGGGGACTTCAGGGAATCTGGCTTGGGGAAGCGCTTGAGGTCTGTACATGGGTTCAGGAGACATGCGTGCACTTGTGCACACCTGTTGGGCTCCTTCACGGGTCTGGAATTCAAGCTTCAGCTCTTCGAGGGCTCTTAAAGCCTCGAGATGCTAGTCGAGATGCTTGTAGGTTTGGAAAGCTGGCCTCTTCTCACCTTACGAACAGTTTAGCCAGCCCGAATCTGCCCCTAAACTGCCCCCTAAGACTCAATACACGAACTTTAGGATCCGAGCCTTGGCGTTCGAAGGGTCCAGCTGCAGGCAGGAGTCTGCAGCCTCGATAGCGCGGCGGTAGAGCTCCTGGCCTAATGATGGCAAAACAAAGGTGGCATGAAGGAGGCACACACAAATATTCTGAATTCTTAAGTGATGCTGAGAGAAGCACACGGTACTTTTAAAGTTGAGCACAGAGCTCGGACGGCTCAGACTTTCGAGAACAGGCGATTTGGGGAGCTCCTGCCTAACTGGATGTCGCTTTGAAAGACTAAGCCCTGAACCTGACACCCCGACTCATTGAAGCGGCATGTCTTGACGTCACAAGGCCTAGTGCCCCAGAAACTCTCCGAACTGTTTAGGCCCAGCGGCTCAAAAAGCACTGTGCGATGTTGCTGTGCAAAACCGCTTTCAGCTCCACCTTAAGGAAACCCTGATTTCGTTGACTAACAACTTGAACGATGATGACGATGGCAGGTAGATTTCACTTCATGGCAGTGGTGATCAACAACTCACACAAACCAACGAAAAGGTGAACAATCAGAGCTTAGGTTTCCAGGAGTGCTGAAGCTTTGGGATTGTAGGAACTGGCGACATCCCCCAGCCTATATAAAGCTCCAAAGCTTTACGGGATTCTCTATGCGAGCAAGGAGAACAGTCGAATTCAAATTTAACAGCCTTTGGCAGCTGATGTTCATTTGGTGGCGTTGTCTGGTTGAGGGTTGAGGGTTGAGGGTGATTGATGCTCATGATGCGCGTCCGGCAGTTCTCTTTTGTTGAGGGCCCGCGCAGCTGCGCAGCTGATGCTGACGATGCTCGTCCGGTGGTATTCTCTGTTTGAGAGCATCGTGAGCATCAGCTGAGAAGGCCCGCAACCAGAGAGCACCACCAGACGAGCATCTTGAGCATCAGCAGCCCGAGGACCTCAAGAAGAGACGAGCATCATGAGCATCACCTGCTAAGGTCCGCAATCATACAGCACCACATCAGCCGCCCGAGGCCCGCAACCAGAGAACACTACCAGACGAGCATCAGCTGCTCAGGCCCTTAGCCAGAGAGCACCACCAGACGAGCATCATGAGCATCAGCCGTCCAAGGCCCTCAACATCCCTCAACCAGAGAACGCCAGACGAATATCGTGAGCATCAGCTCACCACCAGACGAACATCGTGAGCATCAGCTGCCAAGGCCCTTCACGAAAGCACACCACCAGACGAGCATCAGCTGCCAAGGCCCTTAACCAGAGAGCACCACCAGACAAGCATCATGAGCATCAGCTGCTAAGGCCCTTAACCAGACGGCACCACCAGACGAACATCATGAGCATCAGCTGCTAAGGCCCTCACCGCCGCCCGAGGCCCTCCAACGCCATCAGTCCTCAGAGAGCACCACGAGCTTCATCATGCGTATCAGCCCGAGGCCCGCAACCAGAGAATCAGCTCACCACCAGACGAACATCGTGAGCATCAGCTGCGAAGGCTCTTCACCAGAAACCACCAGACAAGCATCATGAGCATCAGCTGCTAAGGCCCTGAACCACACGGTACCACCAGACGAGCATCATGAGCATCGGCTGCCCAAGCCCGCAACCAGAGAGCACCGCCAGACGAGCATCATGAGCTGCTGCTAAGGCCCTCAGCCAGACAACACCACCAGAGGAGCATCCTGAGCATTAGCTGCTACGGCCCTTGATCAGAGAGCACCACCAGACGAGCATCATGGGCATCAGCCGTCCCAGGCCTGCAACCCGACAACATCGCCAGACGAGCACCATGGGCATCACCTGCTAAGGTCCGCATGCATACAGCACCACATGACGAGCATCATGAGCATCAGCCGCCCGAGGCCCACAACCAGAGCAGACGAGCATCATGAGCATCAGCCGTCCAAGGCCCTCACCCAGAGCCTAAGGCTTTTCATCAACCTTCTAACAAGCCTAAACAAGGGTAACTCGACAAGCAAGCGGCCATCTTCTCAACCTCCGTGCGGAGTGCAGGATGTCCGTCCGCCTTGAGGCAACAGACAGGGTGCCCTGAACACCTTCAACACCCAAGCCATCAACCGTTTGCAGCCTTGTCGAGGATGTTAATGCCCTGGGTGTAGGACGTCACAGCCTCGGCGTAGGCCTTGCGCTTCACTGCGCTGTTGCCCTCCTGCGCGGGGGAGCCCCCCCAGGAAAAGGAAAAGTGCGTCGTCAGAGGAGGCATGAGCCTCAGGTACACTTGCCGAGGCGGCCTCGCGATAGCGGGTAACTTTCTGCTTTCATACGCTAGAAATCTTGGACGCTTACTCAAGGGCGGCAATGAAAAAAAAAACTCGCAGAGCAATACTCATCCAAAAACGACCTTGTCAAGAGTTACCATTCTAAGGTACAGCTTCTTTTCTGGGATGCTTGCACGCAACGTGCGCAGGAGGCCACAACAGACCTTGAAACTCTTCGTTTCAGATCCAACGCTTCTTATTTGAAGCGTTGCTGGTTTGAGCTCGGAACTACGAATTCAGTATGTGCGGTTCAGCGCGTGCTCAGAGCTTGGGAACCAAGACGTTGGCGCTAGGCATAGGCTTCCGAGTTTGCAACGGGGGCGTGGCATTTAGTACCCAAGGCTTGGGACTCCATATGCTTCATACAAGGTTGGAAAAGGCTTTAGGTGAGTCCTCCTTCTGCTTCGTGGCAGCCTCAATCAAGGGGATGCAGTCGATGATCCTCGGTTGAAGGTTCAAGGTGCGGGGATTCCTGAACACGAAACTCCAAGAAACATGGGGTCTTGGACTCTTGGCTTTGGAAGCTTCTTGAATCTGGCTGCCAAGACCGTGTGATAACCAGTACCAAAGGCACTCACCTTACCAAGCGACGGAAGGCTCAGCAAACGAGAGCCTGGAACCCCCTCCAGAAGCAAAACCACGCCCAACTCTTCCACTACCCGACCCCCACCTCCCAAAACTAAAGTTTAAAGGGGGCTCACAGGGTTCTGAAACTCGGGGGATGCCATCAACAGCGCCGAGGCTCTGGGGCGTCTCCTCTGTCGAGGCCATGGCCAAGCTCTACGGAGGCGCCACTCCACAGGGGACTTCAGGCCCTTTGGGAACTCGGACTCAAGGATGAGGGTGTGGTTCCAAGGGCTTACACCTCTAGAGGCTTGCAGTCTAGTTCCCTGCAAGCCTCGGGTCTTCAAGGTTCCTTGGTCACAGGCTTGCAGGTAGGGGGGTGTGAGGTGTGTTTTTCTTCCGCAAACCCGTGTGTCGAATGAGTGGTCTATTCTCAGATGCAAATGAAACAGTCCATGTTTCGGCAGAAGGGCTTAGTCAGCTTGGAGGTATCAAGCCTGAGAATAATATGCACCCAACCGCCACCCATGGAAGCGTCAGACTTCTTCGATGCCAAAACGAGCGCACAGACAGCCGTAGCCACTTGGTTAAGATTTCGAAACCCTTGACCCTAAACCCTAAACCCTTTTTCCCCTAAACCCTAAACCCTTTTTCCCCTAAACCCTAAACCCTAAACCCTAAACCCGAACCCCAAAGAAGCCAGGCTCGCGGCAGCCGCGGATGGCTGGGTAGGCGTAGTAGACGTGCATATCTCGGCAAGCCGCAGAGGCTTCAGAGGCTTTTACATTCTGCGGCTCGATGTGGGGGGTTTTACGAAACAGAGGGGGCCCCTGAAATTCGATCCCAAATAGTAGGATTCCCTTATCAACAGGGACCCCAAGCAGGTAGCCCTAGCTTCGGAAACCCCCATGCTGTGGCTGAGACCTATGGGCTTCATGGCTACAGGGTGTTAGGATCAAAGGGTGACGGGCTCGGCAGCAGAGGTCTTTGGCTGCTTCAGCAAAGCTAAGGATGGACAAGTATTGCGGAGGGATTGCAAACGGCATGATCTGGGGGCGATTCCTTACCCGCTCAGTGAGGTAAAAACCTTCATGAAGGCTTGCAGATTTCCAAGGCGGATTTGCATCGAAACCGATGGGCCAGGAAGCAGAGAAGCGAAAAGTTCTGGAGCCGAAGCGCCAAGATGCCCAGAAGCCGAGTGCTAGAGGGAAGCAATGGAAAGAAGCGCCCTGATTATCCAAGAGGCCGTGTGGCCGCAAAGCAAAAAAATCCTCTAACACAAGCAGAAAAGTGTGGTACCACACGAGTCAAACTAGTAGAAATAAGCCCAAGTCCCCCCCCCCCCCTCCCCAAGCCGGTACACCTCACATGTGGTAGCGATCCATTTTATTGGCAGCGATCCGTTCCCTTCAGGCGGATATGTTGCAACGCATCACTCAATCGCTGCATCGCAGGGCAACAAGTGACACGGGGCAGGTGTAGGCCTCCTTAGGCTTGAGAAACGCTTTGAGGTCGAAGTGAAGCCTATACATATAAAAATGAATGGAGGGTATGGAGGGCATGGGGATTGGGAGCCTTCCCAATTTTGGAGCCGCTTTGTCACTTGCGCTGCGGCACTCACGCACTGCATCTGCTCACCAACACCTGCGGAAGCTCGCTGTAACATGGGCACATGACTGTGACATGGCTACACGAGTACATCCTTCTGTCAGACAGGGCTTATCTCACAGCAGCTTATGCCTAGGGCCCTACATACTCTCAAATCATGTTGGCAGCTAGCAGTCTGGAACGGAGTAGAGGATCAGGAATCGATATTGCGCGGCATATTGTTCTTCGACTCAGTTTACGATGCAGCAGAGCGGACATGACAAGATGGCGAGACGTGAGACACGAAACGATATTGGACAACATACGACACAAGGCGCAACCTGACACGAGACACGCGACGGGTCAAAGCCGAGACGACACGACACGCCCGACACGCAACAGCATACGAGACTGCAGACATGTTCAACAAGTACAGGTGCATGCGAAGAAAGGCGCGAAGGCGTAAAAACAGGTGCAGGCACAGCCGAAGGAGAATCTGAGTTGCCGAGCAAGCTCGAGCGCTGAGGCAACGGTTCCCGGTTAAGTCAGCAAACGCGCAATCCCGAAAACAAGAACCCTTCGACAGGCCCCCAAAGCTTTCCAACACGTAGCTGTCCTCCAGAGCCTATGCCCCTAATTGATTCTGACAGGGGCTAGCAGCGTCTGGCACTGGCTCTGAAGCACTGAAATCCGAAACCTCACCCCTCAAGTCATCTCAAGTCCCCTGGAGGTCCCCCGGCCAGGAGCAGGGAGAGGGCCCCGAGCACGGCGATGCCGGCAAGGCCCAGCAAGCTCCAGGGCCCACGCACTGGGCCGCAAGGGGGGTTCGAGTTCAGGGTTTCAGAGGCTTCGTTTTCGCGTTCAGGGTTTAAAGGTCTTCGATTTTCGTTGCAGGGTTCTCAGCATCTTTTGTGTTGAAGGCTGTTGTGCGGAGTAGAAGGCATTCGTTCGTGCACAAGTTGAGGTTTAACTTCTCCGACATCAAGCGTTCCATGTCGAGCTTACCTACCAAGTCCGTAATCCCAAGCCCGACAAGAGCACGTTGCTTCCATTCTTGCAAGCCAAGACACAATGCGCGACTACGCTTCCCGCCTTCCTTCAAATTTAGCATACCCCCCTTGCCGGGCGAGGGGAAAACAGAGATCCCAGTCACAAGCCGCAAACCCAAACCCGAAAGTCCTGAATCCGAAAAACCAATCTCGACACAAGGGGTAAACCAAGCCCCGTGCCTTTATGTGCAGGCAGTGCTTCCTGCCCAGGGGGAGTCTGTAGTCAGACCCTCAAGGTCTTTTGGGGGGAGTTCTGAAGAAGTGCTTCTAGGATCATGCCTTGCGTTAGAGCCGTTGGTGTAAATGAAACTTCCAGCTGTTCATTGGGGCCGGAGTTGAAGATGATGTCCCAGGCATGTCTGCAGTTTAGGGCTCAGGGGGCTTTGTTCCCTCCCCCAACAGAGGCCCAACAAGGCACATCCAAGTGCCCCGGCCTCCGTGGTAGGCCTTGCGGCCTGCGCTCTTGCACGAGCCTTGCCGCGGTCTTCGAGATGAGGCTTACGGTTTCAGGATGTTTCAGGGGCAGGATGCGAAGCTCCAGATCAAAACTCATGGAAGATCCCCCACTCCGGCCTCTTCGGGAATTGGTTCCTCAGCTTGCCCAGCACTTAGATCCCCACAGCGTGCAGGTCATGTCCATGTGTCCGCTTCACTGTTTTCCAAGCCGCCGGGGGGGCGGAGGGGGGGGTGGGGGGACCTGCCCAGCAACATCAAAAAGCAACTCACTGGCCTAGGCTGGTGGAGTGTACGAAAAACTTCACAAATCACGCGGTCGTGAAACGTACCAAAACCTTGCAAATAACATGAAAAGTTTTCCACTAGTGGATCGAACAATTTTCCACTGGTGGAAGAAGCCTTCGCACATCACGTATGGTGCTGCAGCATCCTGCGTTGCTCTGCCCTCTCTTAAGACTCGTTCTGGCTTGGTTCTTCAAAGCGCTTTCGTTTGGGACATGCGCTGCCTGGTTACACCTGGTTAAATATGATCATTGCCGGTGTCGGGCCCTAATGTAGACCTTACGCCAAGACAGGAGCACACACACACACACACACACTGATACAAACACGACTCGTCATGACTGGCACGCTTCCATTCGAGAGGATGGCTGGCGAGGCTTGCAGGTGCACCAGCAAACCAGCAGAAGTAGCGCAGCAAATCTTTCTCCTAAATCCGACACCCCAAATCTCAACCCTACCACTCAGTTCTGAGCATCCCAACATGACTCGGCACCTTTCTAAAACTAACTTCAGGGATGTATATGGATCATCTGGGGATTCGTGCCAGAAATGCCGCAGGTTGCAGAAAAAAGTGTCGTCGTCGCAGACATGCTGTTTGCGAAGGAAGCATCTTCAGATAATGTGAACCTATGTACACTGCATGAAGGAATGCACCACTCCAAGCCTAACCACATGCTCTTGCAACACAGCTGCATGGATGGGCAGCCCTTGGCCAGTGACGTTGGGGAGGCCAGAAACATGGACCTCCCAAGGACAGACAGTCACGGGGTTGGTTCTAGTAGCTCCGAAAACTGACAGTACCTTCATGCCCTGCAGGGGAATCTTTGGGGAAATGGACATCAGGAAAGCTCTGGCAAGCCACAGAAAGCTACGCACTTCGGTCCCATTCAACGTCTCGACTTTGGGATAAGACCTAAGGTGACACACACTGACCATAGCAATTTCTACAGAGCAAGCTTGTACAGAGGTCTTCGCAAAAACAAACACCCCATGCCATCCGGGAACAGCTGTTGGCTGAGATGGCATACGACGTGGGCCTGAATCAAAAAATGCGAACCAAAGACAAAATGCCCCCAACTGATCCCATCCAACCTTCTGGATATCCGTGACCACATTGCCAAAGACGCTTTTGATGGTCTGGCATGGGCATTCGGGGTCTGGCTGTGGCGAGGTGCAGGGCTCTTAAGCCGGGCAGAAACAACGTCGTTGCACCATTGTAGAAGACATTAAGTCATTAAGCCCATTCTTCCGCTTCGTGCCTCTGATGCATCTTGTGTCAGTTGCATTCATGTTTCCTAATCTGGGGAGGCATCTTCGGCTCAAGAGCGGTTTACGTAAACGTGCTTGGAGTTTGGCTTTGGCCCGAGGCCGAATGCCTTTGCGAGTGACAAAGATGCAGCAGCCCTGACATGCGTGGTCCTCGGGTGTGGAGTATGATGAATGCTCAGGGAACCTTGCTACGCGACCCAGAATCGGATCTGTGCCACAACTAGGCGGTAACAACACCAAGTGAAGCTGAACTATTAGGGCGACGGGACAACCCGAACAAGCCTCGGCAGTCTCATTGGCAACGTCTCCAATCACCGCGGAATCAAGGCTTCCGACCTGCCACAAAATTATCCAAGGGAAGGTGGGTGTGTGGCTCCCCAGTTAGCCAGGAATTGCCTGTAAAATGATTCCGACCATCGGGATTGGGACAAAAGCAGGCAGCCTGCTCAGAAAACGAGAGGTCCCTGTACGCGTGGTTCCTTACAGGGGAAGGGAGTACTCTTGAAACCCTCACGAGCCCATGGCAGGATTCGGGATTCAGATGAATCTCCAGAAGCCCTAAGCACCCGCTGTAAACCCCTTGTAGCACTCAAAAGCTCCAAAAACATGCCACGGGTGCCAGGGCAGACATCCGGAGATGCCCAGCCGTTGCGTTCTCCTCGTAGCGCCTCGCAACAGCCCGATTCCCTGACCCTTCCGTTGTGGTTGTTCGTCACCAAGGTTGTTTCCTAAGCGAGACTCAAGGATGCTCTTTTCCCCTCGTCCGAAAGCTCAGACTCATATCCTGAAGCCGCCCCTAAACCGAAGCCGCAAACAAATCCCAAAACTAGGTTCACAAAGGACAGGCGCTTCGCATGTGGGAGGGGGGGGGAGGGGGGGGGGGGGCTCCAGGATTTCAACGGGTATCCCGCGCATGCCCTATGCTTGCAGCCGATGCGAACTCAACAGAAGTAGAGGTGCACATGAAAGGGCGAATACATGCAAACTACCCAAGGTGGGCACGTTCGGATGGCTGCCGGGGAGTCTGCCATGAACGCCGCCTGAGAGCTGCTTGGAAACAGGGAGTTTCAGGGATCTTGGAAGCTGGGGTATGGGACTGTTGGGTTTG